CAATCGAAAACTACTTGTGAAGATTGGTTTAAACGCTTTAGAAATGGCGATTTCGACACTGAGGACAAGGAGCGCTCCGGAAGACCAAAAACATTTGAGGACGCCGATCTGCAAGCGTTATTGGATGAAAATGATACGCAAACACAAGACAACAACAACTGATAAATTTGAACCATGCATTGCTCGAAAAACGGCCAGAATGGGACACGAGACACGAACGAGTGATATTGCAGCACGACAACGTTCCGTGCCATCGCACTTCCATCGTCCAGGACACCATCAAAACGCTGAAATGGGATCTGCTACCGCACCCGCTGTATTCACCAGACCTGGCCCCTTCCAATTATCACTTGTTCCGGTCGATGGCACATGGCTTAGCTGGGCTACACTTGGCCAATTTCGAAGAAGTGCAAAACTGATTGGATAAATGGTTTCGATGCAAAGACGCGTCGTTTTATCGTCGCGGTATTCATGTATTGCCAGAGAGATGGCAAAAATGTGTAGCTAGCGAGGGACGATACTTTGAATAAACCGTTTTTTGTATTTCTCTTGAAATTTTCCATTTTGCATTGATAAAAAAAACCCGGAAACTTAATTGCGCACCTAGTACACGCGAGGAATGTAATCCGTGCCCAATGACCTATCCTCTACCCGCGTACGACGCGCTGCAATTTGGACTACCGAATTTCATCCAGGGTGAGTGAATCAGCGCGACGAGTGAACCACGTGTCCTCGAAGCCACGTGATGATCATCCAGCGAAATCGGCAAGGTCGCGCGGCAGAATCTCAGACCCTCGAATTTTTGCCGCACACGAAAATAATCTCTACAAAAAATCAGACGTAAATTTACATTTCGGAGAAAGTAAGAATTCAATTCCAAGTCGATGATTAATCGTTAGATTAATCGATGAAGCGTTTTGGTGTCACGACATTCCCACGACGCGTGGCGTGCTTCTTTTACAGCCTTCAATTCCGGCGGCAAGATTTTATTTCTGGTGAAAGGTGCACGTGGTGTGTCAGTTACTGTCAACTTTTTTTTCTTTTTTTTTATTGCCAGCTGATGAATTAATTTGCTAAATATAAATGAAATTTTACTTGAAGTTGAAAAAACACGGTCTTGGAAACGCTAATTGATAAAGCAAATAACTAAATTTTATTCAATGATTATTCGTCTCTAATGAATTTTTCGTTAATTTCAATCAATTTTCTTCCTTAAGAGATATCTTTTTAATTTTTTTGTGGTCTTATTGTGATCTTCAGTTTTATTTATACTGTTCTTCCGAAACATCTATATACGTCAGTATTTCCGTGACATTGAAGGCATTCGAATGGCATAATACATATATTTGCGCATTAATGCATAATATGTTGCTCTGATTTTTTTTATGCATACGTTAAGCGCACGAGTCTGCTCTATCCGTGACGGAGCAATAATTTCGATGACTCATAGTTGCTGCCGTGAATACTTTCCGTTCGCAGAACTCTAATAATTGAAGCAAGACTGTTATAAAATACCGCAGAATTTTTCGAAAATTCCTATAAAAACTGAAAAAAAATGTTGAAAAAAAATGTGTGTTCTAAACACGAGCAGATTGAACGTTCGATACACTACTGCGATAAGCTTGCGAAATTTTTTGAACTCTCTTGGGTTCCGGAAATCGCTTATCTGTCTGCAAAATGACACGTTCTATAAAATTTTCCTCGTAGCAATGACTCAACTTGTGGAATCAATGATTAAGTATCAACTCGACTGTTTGTATCTTGTGATAAATTAATTGACTTAACGCTGCTCACCCCTGCCAATTGTGATAATTATTCGATTTTTTTAGAAATTCATACAACGATTCATAGAAATCATCGTCGTGACATACGCGTCGCTCACACGTTAATTCGCAACAGCTGTCGATATTTACATATCGTTCTATGAATATCTATTAGTTTTTACGCCAAAAACATAGTTAGCAACATCGCAGAGGGGTGATAAGTATCGAGAAAACTTGGTAGAGCGTAAACTGTTATTTACAGAGCAATTTGCAAATCGTAAATTACTTTGACACTCGTAGGATATTTTTAGAATAGAGATATTATCTCTCTTGTCTACAAAAGAAAATGCGCAGACAATTGTTACTTTTACGATAAGATTGTTGCTCTTGCGATATATTTTTTACGATGTTTTCACAGCACTTCCGGTTCGCGCAAATCAATTCAATTGCGTATATGATTACAATCTTCAAGAAAAATGGAAATATTTGCTTTTTATGGGTATTCATATTTCACATTAATGTTAAATGCGATTGTTTAATCTGCATTAAAATATGTGCAACTTTTGCACAAAAAATGCATGTTTGATATCACATTTCACAAGGAAATCTCGAGAGCAAAACCTCGGATAAAGATAAATAATTACGCAATATATCGCGTAACAGTGTTGATAAGACGATTAGTAAGTACACGTTAAAGTTCTCTAGAGTGTTTAATCTTAAGTGATAATGAATAATTTTAGCCTTCAGCTTCGATTTACGAGTCACTAATCTGATAATACCTTGCTATCTTCTAGATGTATTACTTGCATCTACTATGAATATATCAAATTTATGCAACAAATACATTTATTACAAGATGTGACAGCCGTTCTGGTAAAATTAAACTATTTATGATGCATTCATGATCATCAAATAAAAAATTTTCGGTACATTTTTTTCTCAAGCGCAGGAGATATTTAAATATTCTACTTTTAGGAGCTTTTTCTAGGATGAACAAAGAATGACATTACAACAGTATATTCAGAAATATGTACATTGTTACAGTGAGCGGAGGGAAAACTGAGCTTTCCTTTACTGGCTGTTGAAAAAGCGCCACAAAAAGCCCACGGCGGATCAAGCATCGGTAATCGATGGGTTGAGAACGCGAGACCGATGCTCTTACCGAGACTCTTTCCTCTTCTTTTCGTTATCATAGCTGTGTAGCTTACCAATGAGCCATGCTGAAGGTGGTCGGAGCCTCATGGCTGCAGACGCGCATCTCCACCTACATCCTTATCGCCGTCGCTCTCCTCGGCATCGGCGCCATTATCCTCGGCGAGTTCGGACAGTGAGTTCGATTTAATTTCCGGCAAATCTAGAATGTCAAATCTGTCGAAAAGAAATTTTGCAAAGCACCGCTGTCGGACAACAAGTAAAATGGAACAATGCGCGCATTATCTGCACGTCTTTCACGAATTTGCAGAACATACGTCAATTTTGAGTAGAAAATAATTCTGGACAAGAAAGTAGATACATACTTTCGTCAAAATTTTTGATATTTAACCTTTTTGGCAAGTTCTTTTTAAATAAAATTTTTATTAATGCTTCCACAGTGTAGAAAATGATGGAACTTATTCGGCTACTGTGTCGTGGAATCACAAAGGGGGATACCGCATCGATTTTTGGGGCCAAGGTAACGATCTCACCAACTTGCGACTGAACGCCGCTCGTGCCTACTACAAGACCAGTATTTTCAAGTCCGGGTAGGTGTGGTCAATGTCATTAACCGGACAAAACATGTATAAAAGCAAAAATAATAAATTTTTACCCTGGAAATGTCATACGACGACACTTGACGCACAGCGTTGTAATTTAAATTTAAATAACCTTTCCGGGATTTCAATGTCAATAACAAATGTTTAATCGCGCACGATTAAAAGAGTTGTAATTACAAATTTTAATGATGAAAATGTGATAATCTATTTTTTCCGCAAATAATTCTATGAATTGCAAATTGGCATTCAAAGCTTCGCATACATTAAATCGGAATATCCTGCAGATATAGTGCGTAATTTGTATTAATTAAAATAAACACGGCACATCGCAATGCTTTCCAGATGGTCTGTCATCGAAATAGAAACATCCTCCAAGTATCCGGACGCTGTGCAAGCTTACGCGGCTGGTTTATTGGAGGGTAGTCTTACTTGGCAATTAATTCATCATCATTGGCACAATACCGTCAACGTCGTTTGCAAGAAATGGGCCCACGATTGTCAGAAATTGATGCGATTTCTTCGCGAGAACACCGCTATTGTTCGGGAACGTGCTGAACTCTTGGCAGCTACAGATCCATTTTGGCATATGGTAAGTAAATATATAAAACACAGTCAGGTTTTTTTTATTCCAAGTCTTTATTATAAGTAATGCTCGTCGAGTAGATTTACTTTGCGGTCAAGTTTTTTGAATGCATGCAAATAAATGGAAAAAGATCTTATTATCATTAATTGTAGTTGTAATTTAAGATAAAATATAAAAAAATGTTAAAATAAATGTGTTTAAAATAAAGTTTTTCACGAATTCAGGAATAGTTGTGCAAATAAATCGACATTGTTTTCGATCGTAGGTGCGTCTGTTTTATATCCAACTGGACGGTTTAGAGGCTGGTTGGAGATTTGCGGTTCGTCGTAGTCTGCAAACGGTGGAAATGGACTCGGAACATTTTCTATGGCTGGCGATGGCGCCTGATCTATTAGATCACGCGCGAGCGCTGAATGATTCCGATTTCCGTCGCGATCACGCCAAGAGCATGATTTTCCTTAAGAATTTATCACGCGACGGTAGCCCATTGGTAGCTATCGGACATCACACTGCTGCACCGTAAGTCATTTTTCTATTTTTTTGCATCATTAATTATACATTCTAGATGTTATATCCCGTTTCAAGTATTGAAGAGTTAAACTTTGCCTTCGTAGTCTGCAACCAATTCGTTATAACATATTCAAATTGCTTTTCTGTAAACTCGGGCCATATCTTCTCCAAGGAAACTGAAATAAATCAAAATATGTGAGATGTCGGGCGCTATTTAATTTTGATATCAATTATTTACAAGTTAAAAATAACGCCAATTAAAAATATACGATATGAATAATGGACAAAGTAATAATACTACTCCTCTTATAAACTTACTATATACGCAAGCAATAAGATTCGAAAATTCTAATTGATATATATCTGCTGGATTATAGGATTTTCTCCAATAGCAGTGAATAACGAAACTGTCGTCAAATAAATTTTGCAACAATTTTTGTATTGCTTCTTCCAACGTGTCACAATTATTTTCTATATTTTTTTGCAATTCTTTCCTGAATACCTTTAGCTGTAGTTAAAAAATGTTATTATATAAACTTATATTTATAATATTATAGCGATTGAAAAATTGGTAATAAAGATATACCAATGCTATGGTTGTTAATTTTGACCATGTTTCGAATGAATCTTCAATATACGTCAAGTCATCGATACTTTTTATAGGTAATGTGAAATTTAATTCACTTTCGTGGTATTTCTTAAAGACCCTTAATACGAGAGTTTTCTATAATATAATATTCCAAATATTATTTTTTTGTACCTAACAAACTTTCTTAATCTAGAAACCGATTGATCATATCTTAGAGAATACGTTGCATATTTATAGAGGCTTGCTCACGTTGCTTATAAATAATAATTTGTAGCATATTTAACAAAAAGTATACAAAATAGAGAAACAGAAAAGAAAGATGCAATATAAATAAAAGGAATGAATGTAAAATACGTGTAATGAACAAGAGCCACGACAATTTCTCAATACGTACATAGATACGCGGTATACAAGCAGACGCGGTATACAAGCAGACACGGTATACGGTTGATCAGTTTTAGAATTTTTTGTTTTAGTTCGTGCGTGACAAATTTTCATTTATTATTAAATTTTTTATAACGCGTCCTGCGATCGAACGATCGGGCTTCTTATGTTTTACATTTCGCAAAATTTGGAAGATTGATTGATTTCAGAAATAATTTTGTGAATAACTTTTGCAGCGCCTTTTTTATTACATCTTTCGGTTCTACCATCACATTGAAAAATAATAACGTATACAAACTAATATTGTATATTGATTCATATTCTGAATCAGAAAGGAATGATCTCGATTTTTGTTTTTCATAATTAGCGATTATTAATTTTCTTTCGTAGAACAAAGTATACAATAAGATTTTCTTACATAAAATATATTCGTAAAATAATTAAAAAAAAAAAAATTATTACATACCAAATCCCATAACTCTTTTCTCAATTGCTCTATCGCAACATTTTCTGTATTTTCTGAATCAATAATATCTTCTTCCATATTTTCATGCATTCGTGTTTGATGCTGTCTATCCCTTTCTACCTGCAATATATAATCGTCTTTTTTTTATATAAAAGTCGATAAAAATTTTCAAAGAAGGGTGTAAAAGCAAAGAGCTGTTTTTCATTCGCATGTAAACGTAATATCTTCGCTCTTTGCATCATACGTTAAGTTAGTTCACAAGTCCGACAACTCACAGTCAAAATGATACTAACGATCCGTGCATCGTCTTTAGAAAAATGTAGCGTGGTCGAACTTTCCAGAATTTTACGAAACATGTACATCTAATTATCCTTGGACCCTTGCGCGCGCAGTTTTTTCCTGACCACTAGCCTTGTGCTCTTTGACACTTTGCGTTTTATTGTCATTGCATATTTACGTCTATTCTATTGTTCACCGTTATTCTGTTCTACCTGAGACAGTCACTCCGTTTGCTTTTTACGCACGTTTTTACATTCGATAATTTTATACTAATTTAACGATTTTTTCGATAGCATAAAATTGTATTATTAAAATCGAATTCAAAGAGACAAAAACTATAAGAGAATATAAATTTTCTAGATGTGCCGCTCGGAAAGTAAAAATCAACATGTTTTTAATATCCTCCTTTTTTACTACATTTTAGTTGAAAAGTATCTAGAAAATTGAAAGCAAAACTTCTTCACAGAATAATACGTAATTTAATAACCACGCGATATTTACTTCTACGATCTTTTACTTTTATCATCTTATTATGATTTGCAGGCGAAGACAGCAATGTCACGTAGAAAACGGTATAAACAGCGAATATAAATGTATTGGCGAATGAATTTAGTCTACATGTGATTTTTCTAACCACCAATTCAGTATATTCCTTACATATATAGATTAGATAAGAGTTTTTTTGCAGAAGGCTATGATATCAAAATTGTAACATATTGCGCGACAATATACTGAGAATTCTTTAGCTATACAGATTTTTGAAATCAATGGATACAAAATCTATCATGTTACAAGTTTTAAAGTAATTATAACATAGCGTGCGTACCGTAAGTGAGTTTAACGATAATTTTGAATTATTATCCGAACTTTTTGGATCCTCTATAATTAATAGTAGGTGTTAATTATTTTACGTACCACTGGATTTGACTTCTATGACAAAAGGACTGGACAACTTTCTCGCTTTACCGTTTTCGAATGCTTTAACTGTATTGTATTGTATTATATGTACACAATATATATAAATTGGGCATGCGCGTATAACGAAATTTTCTATTCGTATACATATACAGGATGCCCCACCAAAAATGGCCATCCCCCTTTTATCTTTTAAATTAAAAGAGATAAACCATAACAAATACATATCAAATTAAATGGTTCAAACTAAACTCTATTGTGAGCATAATAGTTGCTTACAAAAGCTATTCGTGTTAGTGAACAGAGAGGTATGCATAATTTTTTATAATAATGTGGATATTTTGATGTAAGAAAAATTGTAGCGCTGTTTGAAAAGAATACAACGATATATGATTTAATATAAATATTTTACATATTATACGAGTTTTATCGGCTTGAAATATCGCGGACAACATCTACCTTTTCACTCTCGGCCCTGCGATATGGCAAACTTCAATAATTAATTAATAATTAACAGCGTTACAACTTCAATTGACATACGTCAATTTCTAACGCACGAGTCAGAAGTTAGCTATATCGCAAGGTCGAAAGTGAAAAGATAGACGTCGCTCGCGATATTTCAAGCCGATAAAACTCGTAAAAAATATAATATGTAAAAAATATGTAAAAAATATGTAAATAATATGTAAAAAAAATATAATATGTAAAATATTTATCATATTTAAATCATACATCGTTGTATTCTTTTCAAACAGCGCTACAATTTTTCTTACATCAAAATATCCACATTATTATAAAAAAATAATGCATACCTAACTTTTGTAAGCAACTATTATGCTCACAATAGAGTTCAGTTTGAACCATTTAATTTGATATATATTTGTAATGGTTTATCTCTTTTAATTTAAAAGATAAAAAGAAGTGGCCACTTTTGGTGACACACCCTGTATAGTCATGCAACAAGTGTGAAGAAGTGGGAAAACATACACAGCACAAGAGGAAAAATAATTAAGAATAAACAAATATTAATTAAGCAATACGGAAGTTTGATTATATATTTTTACATTAAAATCTAATAAGAAAATTTTTAATTCTAAACTTTTGCATTTTTATGCTGCAAGGATGATCAAATGTGGGTATATTAATGTAAATAAGCTCTTTACGATTACATGGGGCATGTTGAATTATAATCTCATCTCGTTTTACAGATATGCTAAAATGTTGAGATTGCTGAAGAAGTATACCTTTGGTTATCATACATTGCCAATTTCGAAGAGCGTCGTCGCACCGGTACCAGGCAGGTCCATTGTGATGTCGTCTTATCCCGGTGCTCTGTCATCCCACGACGAGTTTTATTTAACCCAAGGACAAAATCGCGAGCTTGTTATCGCCGGAACGCCACTGATAACCGTTAACCGCGGCCTTTGGAATTTAACGAACGCAAAAGATCAAGTGAGTAAAATTCTTTTTTTGCTTTTATAAAGCTTGTATAAAGAGCAATAGCATAAAGAGAGATGGAGCTATTTTTATCACTTGCTAGTGCTTTCTTTAACTCTTCAAAGAACTAAATTTTAGCGAAAAAAAAATTATCGAGTGAAACCGATTTTTTTTTTTGCTTGAGGTTTATAAAATGGACTGAGAAACAGGGAAAAAATATTTGTTTAAGTGGTCCAGTTTATAAACCACCGCCAAAATATGATTCTGAGTGGTTTATATTTCAAACCGTGGCTTCTTAAAGAGTTAAGCAAAGTATACTAAAAACCTAATGCATTAATTTCCGTAGGTGATGTCATCTGCGAGGATAATGGCAGCGAATCGTTTAGCGATTGATGGACATTCCTGGTTTCGCAGCATGTCGCTGCAAGCCGGTGCGGATGCAGTGCGGCAATGGGTCGTTTTGCAACCGCGCGGCTCCATCGTCTGGCTCGTTGAGCAACTGCCGGGGATTGTTCGCGCGGCGGACATCAGCAAGCAGTACGCCGATGACGGTATTTTTTGGAGCACCGGGGAGGCTCGTCTGCGCGAGACCACATCAGTCGACGAGAGCGACAAATATGAAGGCGACGTGACGAAAAATGAACTAATCACGAGACTGAAGAAAAATGTCACTACGATGGAGCGCTTCAAGAAATTCATGCGAGGGTGTAGTCATGAGGAAGTTACCGTCGAGAATGAGGATCAGGCATGGATCCAATCTTACAGAGGAGATTTGACGAAACCTGCTGTGCCTTTTGGCATAATTGACGCAAAGATCATACTGGCCGACGCTAACGGTGTCGAGAGTTTCGAGGCCGTTTCCGGACCAAGCAGGCTTAACTCCAGGGAACCCTTTCGGTGGTCGAAATCTTTTCCCAATGTCTCGCATATTGGCCAGCCCGACGTCTTTGACTTTGACAACATTATTCCTCTGTGGGTTTGGACTTGAGCCGCATATCTTCAAAAACGACATCCGATTCAATCAAATATCTTGAAACTGGAAATCCGTCCAATCGAAATCTTTGATTTGAACGAGTTTCGAAACAAGTCTGATGTATTATTGTAAATCAAATAACAAAATATTTTGTTTTATATAAAATCACGTAAAATTGACATAAATTTATACAACATATCTGTTTATAAATACGTGAAACATGCATGTTTTAAAAATATCAAAATTAGTAAAAAAATCTCTTTTGTAAAATTAATAAGACGACTTGTTTACTTCTTTAAATCATTGATTCAATTTTAATTAAAAAATAATAATTAATAATAAATTAATATTAATTATTATTAATTATTATTAATATTGATAATAAAAATAAAAGAAATTTTTTTAATTTCACGGAAATAAAGAATGAAACAATATATTGTGAACAAAGTAATTTGATCACTGAGAGATCGAAAAATACTAAAAAATTAAACATTTGATTAAAATTTGCTAGATTAAAGCAAAATAAAATAAAAATAAACAGAAAGAAAATTATCTTTAACTGATAATGATTGATTAATAATGAAAAGTTGCTTCACAGTTTTGAGTGTTTTTATTAAATCTGACCTAAATTTTGTAAATTAAGAAAAAACAGCTGGCTGATATGTTGACTACTCGTTATGTAAAAATTTTGGAAAATAAAAAAATAGAAATAAAATATTTTTATTTGTATTGTTTATTTTCACTTGTTAAGTGAATTATTTTAAGCTACAGAATCAAATGCAAATACATTTCCACATTTTATTACATTTCATATACATATTATACATATTTTTTTTCAAACATATCTTTTTTTTCAATATAAGTATATACATTTTTTTTGTTTAATTTAATCTTTATTTTTCAAACACATATAATGGAAAGGCTCATATGATAACTATCAAATACAATATAATAGAAGAGCATTAAGAGCCGTCGCAAGATGTTAATGCGAAATTTTTAATTTTTCTTAAAGAAATTAATTAATTAGTCTACAGATAAATTGTACACCGATTTAACTAACATCCTGCGACGGCTCTTAATGCTCTGCTATTATACTTTATTTTTTTTAATTTATTCAATAAACTAACGATTAATATTTTGTAATTTTATCCTATTACATATGTAATATTATTATATAAAAAGCTATGTAATAACAAACAACATTTTCTGAATACGTACAACAATTTTCTGAATACGTAAAAATTTAGTATACGCAAAAAGTACGCGTGGCACACTTATATTATTGCAATATTTTATTCATATAATTCTATCTCTTCTACATGTATTTTCAAAACACATACTTCTCTTTATATATAGTCATCTCTTTCTCTCATTTAATACATATATTAAGTTGTTACTTGTTTTGTATCTTAATTGAAATATGCGGTTGCAATACGTGATGCAATTTTTGCGTTAATGTGTTGAATTTAATCGTGTTTAAGTGCATTGAATTCAACGCAAAAATTTCTCATTTTTCTTTAAATAAGAAAAATATGCAATAATAAAAAGCAAATAATTTATTATTAATATTATTATTGATCATTTTAGTATCGGCAAAGTGCTATATTTAAAGTATTAGGCATCATAAAATCATCATTGCACAATACTGAATAAAATGTTTAAATAAACTAGCAAATAATATTTTCAATAAATACATCATTTAATATTTTAAACTTTAAATATCCTGGAATTCTAAATAAAGTAAAAGCACGCAAAACGAACCTAAACTATGTTAGCTAATGAGTTTCATCATTCGCCACAGTGTAACATCACAGTAACAGTAACAAAAGTAACACAGTAACAGTAACAAAACACAAGAAACATTTATAACGTTTGCATCTTATACTTATGTTGTTATTTGTCTAATTAAATAATAATTTTATTTCAACATGCTTGCGGGTCGAGAGGAATATCTTTTGTAAGATAGAAAATTTGACATCGCGCCCTACTTAAAACCTACAATCTCGCGGTAGGTATATTAATGTAATAATGGGTTTAACAACTGTAACTATTATGCGGATTATATGAGAATACCATTAGACAAACACTTTAGGTAGGGCTCAGTAAATGAACGCGACAATGCGAAACAGGATATAAAAGCAACTGTCATGTAGCGTTGCCAGCATACGCGAAATGCTTATGCTGCCATCAAAATGGGTAAGTTGTCTCAAAATTATTTTCTTCTCGCGCCTCTTATTTTTACAATTTATATGTTATAATTTCAAGGTAATATACATCTTATTGGTCATCAATTGTGCCGGCGCACGCTGGCAACGCGTTGGTCGTCAAGCAGGATATTCTTATCAGCGACCCAACGTGCCATTCTCATTACCAACGGAAAGAGGTGGTCAACAAGGATATCCTGCACCTAGTCCTCCGAGTTATTCTTATCCCGCACCTCCACCGCCGCCACCGCCACCACCTCCACCACCACCGCCTCCGCCGCCGCCACCGCCACCACCGCCACCACCGCCGCCACCACCTCCACCGCCGCCT